GCAAGTTTTCAGCTCCTTTGGATAAATACCAAGCAGCCTGTTTGTTGGATCATATGGTAAGAGTATGCTTTGTTTACTGTCTTGCACAGTGGCTGCACCATTTTGCATTTCCACCAGTAATGAATGAGAGTTCCTGTTGCTCCACATCCTCTCCAGAATTTGGTGTTGTCACTGTTCTAGATTTTGACCCTTCTAATAGGTGCACAGTGGTAGTGCGTTGTTTTAATTTGCATTTCCCTGATGACATATGATGTGGAGCGTCTTTTCATATGCTTATTTGCCATCAATATATATTTCTTGGTGAAGTGTCTGTTAAGGTCTTTGGCACATTTTTAAATCAGGTTGTGTGTTTTCTTATTGTTAGATCTTAAGTGTTCCTTGTGTAGCTAGGATAGCAGTCCTTTATAAAATATGTTTTGCAAATATTTTCTACCAGTCTGTAGCTTCTCTTTGTCTCTCTTATTTTTAAATTAAAAAAAAAAGTCTTCTGCTGCATATATTTCTGAAGTAGAAGTTTTAACTAAAAAATATAGGACCTAGGTGAAAAATTTTATGAAATAAGAACAACACTGGATTATGATGACATACTCACAGGCTACATGATTGTAAAAAAAATCATTAAACCTCCCTTATCTTCAATTTCCCTAGATGGAAATGTAATTGTTAATATTTGCCTTATATTATATATGAGCAAATATACTCCAGAAATGTAAACTTTTAGAAATTATAATTTCATGAAAACTTTTTTAGAAAAATTTAAATTTGAAGGAAAATTTTTGTGAAAAGTGATACAGACCAATCATTTCTATTTAAGAAATAAGATACTAGTTTAATGTTAGATTTTCTTCAACTGTTGTCTTTAATTGCCTTCTAAATTTATGCATTTGAGTTTATACTAGAAAATGCTTTTTGTATGCACCTAATGTGGAATTGTAGATCACTTCAGAGTGAGTCAGCTTCGACATTCACAGAAATATAATAATAAGGAAGCAGTGTCTAAACTAACTTTCCTGTTGTTTCTAGAAAAATAGTCATAATAGGGCAAAAGCAGTTACTTGCTGTATTATTCAGAGCATAAATTATAGACTCCAAAATATAATTAGCACTTGTGTCTGTAACAGATAGCTACATTTTCTGGTTATGTATCTATCAAATTTTCATTTTAATAGTGATGACTCATAATGAAATTATGCATTCATCGTTCCATTCATTAAACCATTTTACTAGCAGGCTGTGCATGTGAACTGCAAATTCTGTGCATGTGTGATCACACCACTCTCCCCCAGTCTCGAGTTCTTAACCTAGTATTGGTTAACACACACAAATTCTTTCCAGAACAAGTTCTCGGATGTACATTCAGGGGGCAGATGCAGTTGAAATGTTATCAAGTTACAGATGCACAAAGTATTCTTGCTGAATGTGTTTGGTAATATAGCTCTGAAATGTCACTTCAGACCCTGCCTTCTCCTGGCCCAAACTTCACTCTCCAGGGAACCATCCAGAAAAGTGATGCTAAGAGTTACTAAATTCACTCCTCAGATCAGCTGTTTTCAAAATGGTAGAATAAGCTTTCAACAAATTCAGCGTAGGTTTCTCTCTTGTTGAAGAAGGTATGAGCTTCAAAGACACTTTATTATCTGAAACTTCATGATAGAGGTAGAACTAAATCAACAGCTATTGAAATGTGATCCAGAAAACAAAACAAACGCAAGAAAAGGATTGTATCTTATATGATTCAACAGGAGAAATTTTTCTCTCTTCTACCTCCCCTAGAGAGGTTCTTTTCATGCTTCCTTTTCTTCCTATCTCTTTTCTCCTCTTTCTCCTTTCGTGGCCCTCTCCTCATCTTCAGTCATGCATCTCTCTCTTTCTTCCTGCTCTGTAATAACTGACATTTATTTCAGTACGTCTCTTTATAAAGAGCTTTACTCATACATTATGTCCCTTCACTCACATCACTGCAGTCTTAGAACAGCCGTTGCTATCATTTCATTTGATCATAGTGAAGTGTAAACAGGCTAGCAGACTGTTTCAAAGTCAATCTGCATTATTTCAAACCTGTTCCCTCTTCCAACACCACGCTACCTCAATAAATTCTTTCCTCCCTTCCTCATAAATCTCTTTTCTCCTTTTTCTCTTCTTTCTCTTCCTTCAGCTTCCCTTCCTCGTTTCCTGCTCTTTCACTACCTCAACAAACCACCTTATGCTCCACCCCTATTCCCATCTGAACACTGCTCCTTCCAGAAACCTCCTTTATTCTCAGATGGGTCGAGTTAGGCACTTTCTTTGCTCCTCCAGAAACAGAGCCTCAAGAAAGCATCACTAACAATCCCCGCCCCAGGCCCACCTTCTTGCTTTATCCCATTATCAAAATCTTATTCATTTATCTCTTGTATTTTTAGCCGCTGTTTTCTGAATTAACCACAGATAAAAATTGGAGGGAAGTATACAACTGGGGTATTTTTTCTGATTCCTCCTCTCTGCTTTCTTCCCCTCCCCT